TATGAAATATGACATTTTCTTTCGGCCATTTGCAGGTATTTCCTCGGTAAGAACATGGGAGCTTAATATCAAACGACTGTCAAAATGATCACTCTTTAATCACCAAATACCAAATAGATGGCCATCTGTCATCCTAAGGAACGACTTGCTAAACTAATATCACTTTAACCATGCAGAATGTAATACAAATCTGTTTTTATATTGTTGCCATTCCTCGACTACCCACTTGGTTTGGACTTGACTGACTGGGCTCTAATTTTTAATGTCGTTTAGTTTCTTTTAAGTATTTTGGTAGGAAAAATTCAGAAAATTGGAAAAAACAATCTGCACGAAAGGGTATGATGAAATTTTCTTGAAATATTTTCCAATTATATGTATGTTATTTTGATGTTTAAATTATGGGTTTATTTTGGCAGTTGTTGGCTTTTGAAATAGATATGGACTAGATGGTAAATTTTTTGGGTTGAAAGATTTGACTTCTCTCTCATTTTTTAGCAATCTTGCTCAAGTAGTTCCTATTTGGGGTTTGTGAGTGCATAAATGACATTTTTTGCTAAAGAGAGCTGTATATATTACTTTCTCAATTGTATTCGAGTCCGTTGGTGTTGGTGTTTGGGTGTCTGTTTATGTGTAGTACAGTTGAAAAATTGTTCTTTTGAGGGATTTGTTTGAGAAAATTGTGCTTCAGAATTGAAGGGAAACTCTAGGTGCTTTGCTATCAAATATGGGTATTCGTGGAGCAGTGTTCAGTGGAATTTATTGAGCATTTCTGGCTCAATGTATTTGTTCTGTAATGTGTTACATTATTCGGTTGATTACTTGTCTAGAAAGTCCAATTTTTTATCGGCATTAACAAAAAAAAGGGAAGTCTTTTTGTACTTACTTGTCCACTCCGCAGTGCTTTTGTTGGCTACCTTAAATGTAGACACTGACATTTTGGTTCTATACAAGGAAGTGAGCTCTTGCTGATAAGTGAGTGTCATTTGTGGTTCTATGCCAGATGGTTTTCTTCAAGGTTCTGTTGCACATAGCTAGCGTGTGTAAAATTCAGATATAAAATTTATGGGTAGCTTACCTTGTGTCTTTGTTAATTAGAATTTTCTTTATGCGAAACAAGTTTAGGTTGGTGGTTCTCCAGCTTATTGAATTGAGAGGAAACTAGGGAAAGGAAGATTTGGGCAAATGTATGTTGGTCGGCACATGTATTTTGTAGCTTGCAACAATGAGCATTTCTTATGCAAATGTAACATTTCCATGACCTTTCTAGGTAGCCTTAAAATTTGAGCATCAGAGCAACAAAGACTATAATTACGGACCCCCTTATGAGTGGCAAGTCTACAGGTGAGCTATTTCTTTTTCTCTTGTAATAGCTACATGTTAATTTCGAAAGAATGGTCTCAAAATTTCCCCGTGCTTTCTTCCTGGATTTTCTCATTTCTTCCTCTAAAGGTACTTCCTTCTTAGAGAGAGAGAGAGAGTATGTGAGGATAAGCAGATTGAAATCTGCAATCTTTATTTGAGTTTGACAACAATCTGAGCTTCTTCAATGAAATTTCCTAGCCATTACCTTTATTGTTTACTTATTTTCATTTGACAGCGTTTTAATTATTTCTCTCTTTTCCTTGGTTTATCCTTTCTTCTTCTCTCTCGAGTTTACCAAGGTTATCGTCGAATTTGTTTATTATAATCTTGCTACCGAGTTTGTTTTTCATCCAAATAATTCTCATTTTTTATTCACTTAACTGAAGGAGTATAGGGCTTCGAATTGTGAATTTTTGGAGAATGAGCTGCTAGAAAGTAAGGAAAAATTTTGAATTTATATACATAATATTTTATTGTACGAGTGTAGTTGAAAATGAGTATACAGAAAAAGAAAAGTTTCGAAAAAAAGCCCATAAAACATGAGCTAACTTTTGTCACATATAGGAATGCGGATGAGCAATAAAACTAAATAGTGAACGTCGATTATATACGTGTGATAAAGAAAAAGTGCTGTCACGTAAAAGACAAAAGAATATACATATGAATTAATCAATTACCACAGAAACTTGAGTTTTTTGCTTTTATAAATGGATAGTTTGGGCTGATTTTGAGAGATTATAATGAGAAAAGGAATCTATTACTTTTTAGTTTTTGTATGTAAAGAAGCTTCATAATGGTTCAAAGGGCACACGTAACATTCCGAGTTTACTTCTTGACAAAGTAATTATTAGCATTTGGAATTTATGGACATGATTTGATGGCTTCCACAAGAACATATAATTATGATTTGAACGCAAATTAAAAGATAATCTTAAAAATATTTAAATTCCTATTAATTCTTTTAAGAAATGATAAAAAATAAAAAAATAAATTTAGTAATTGATTAACAAACAGTCCATGTGTATAACTATACACACACGTGCGGGTATTCAATTCCTTGAGCCGGATGGAGATTGACCTTCGAGTGCAAAGGCATAAGGGAGATTGACCTTCAAGACCCATCCGTCGAGTCCCCGTTTGACTCTCTTTAGTTTAAAACACTTTATTTCTCATATTCATTTTCAATCATACATAAAAAATAAAATAAAATGAAAAAATCTGTACGAAAATTTAAAATTCTAGGAAAGGAATAAAAACGGCTTTCAGGCCGTTGTCTCCAAAGAATGCAACAAATAGATTTTAAATTTCATGTAAAGGCTCGAGGTCACACCACATGTGGTAACTACCAACTGGATGGATATTGGTCTTGATCTCATACCACAAATAACCGTGTGGGAAATATCACAAGTTTTTTGTGCAGAAGAGAAGGGGACCAACTCAGCTACACCAACCGCTCCTTGAAATTTGACTCCGAACTTGCACTAATTAAAAGCATAATTTGTTTACAAATTTATAGGAAATAACTCCTTTTTGGTATAGCTTAATTTTATTTCTATTTCGTAGACGTGATTATCGTAACATTGTTAGTCATATTAATGATTTTATATAATGTATAAATTAAAATAACATAATATAGAAGTAGCGTGACATACATTTAAGATATNTAGTGTGACATACATTTAAAGATATATGTATGTGATTAAATAAGTAAATAAATAATGAGTATGCTCGAGTTCCTAAATAAATGGCAATGATATAGTACTCGTGGCACATTGTCTTGGCAGCTAGGCACATCTTCGTTTGCTAGTCAAAAGAATAAATAAATTATTAAGGATTTAAGGTAAGTAAATCTCCTCTTGTTTTCATGCATACGTCATATGGTCAAGTGTATAAATGTGTTATCTTAATTGTCCTTGTGTGAACAAAATGCTAGATTATTATGTTTTGTTATAATTGTTTCACGCATGTTTATATATGTCAATGCATCCATAAACATGTACGAAGTTTCAAGAAATAATTTTTTTCAAATGTCAATAAGTCAAGTAATAATTTAGAAAGATATATATCTCAAATGTTTTTTTTTACGAGATAAATGTCAAATACCGTGAAGGTGTGAGCGGGAAATGGGGCGTGGGAGATCAATACACTCAACTAATGTTCAATGGTGAATGTTCAATATTAATGTTAATGTTAATCACTTTGTGATACTATTGGTGGATTTGATTGGGTTCTGAATAACACGACCCACTGCGTTCTGATTAGCTATAGGCAATATATCAAGTGAGCTCACGACATTAACATTTCTCTTCGTTGTTCCCANAATAATTTAGAAAGATATATATCTCAAATGTTTTTTTTTATGAGATAAATGTCAAATACCGTGAAGGTGTGAGCGGGAAATGGGGCGTGGGAGACCAGTACACTCAACTAATGTTCAATGGTGAATGTTCTATATTAATGTTAATGTTAATCACTTTGTGATACTATTGGTAGATTTGATTGGGTTCTGAATAACACGACCCACTGCATTTTGATTAGCTATAGACGATATATCAAGTGAGCTCACGAAGTTAACATTTCTCTTCGTTGTTCCCAAATAGGTATATTAGAAATCTACGAGTAATTTCTCTTCAATTTAGACCTAGATATCATCATGTTAGGTCCACTTCGTTGTTCCCAAACAGGTACTCCCAGTATGGTTATTGTCAGCTGGAATAGAGAAAGGAATAGATATAGACACAAATAGGAACTTCAGTTGNCCCAAACAGGTATATTAGAAACCTACGAGTAATTTCTCTTCAATTTAGACCTAGATATCATCATGTTAGGTCCACTTCGTTGTTCCCAAACAGGTACTCCCAGTATGGTTATTGTCAGATGGCTTAGAGAAAGGAATAGATATAGACACAAATAGGAAATTCAGTTTTACCAATTGTAGAAGCATCTGCGACAAAAGCTGCTTACCTGAGATTCAGCTCCTGAAGATACAAGCACGTTAAGAATATTAGAGAAGGCAAGGCCAGTTATCCTTTTCTGATGAACTTTGAGATCGGCTTTGACCCATTATAAAGGAAATGCAATGATAACAAGGCTTGACTTATTAACATGTTTGAATCACAAATTTAAGCCAAGAGGTTCACCAGTCACCACTATTTACTACCTCATCAACCTTGACATTCGATGATTAGCTGATTTTAGCCAATTTAGAAGCAGGGCATGTGAGTATATGAGTGTTTACTAATTGACTGCCATTTAAGTTCAGCGTTTGCTTTCTTTAAGTTCAAAATCTGTGCAAAGATTTTATATATTATGAACCTAAAACTTTTGTGTTTTAACTTTTTTTTATTTTTTATCTTAGTTAAAATTTTTTTCTCTATATTGATAAATTCATAAAATAGCTATGAAATTTGTATATATACAATAATAATTTAATATGCAATTGACTAACTAGACTTCCACGTCAGACAAACCTTGGCCCACCACGGCTAACTCTACGACGAAACATCAAGGTCCTAGGCTATTAGATAAGGTGTATGCATGTATTCGTAGAGTCAATGTTTTTGCTTGAGTAATGTTTTTTGACACAACTGGTGTTTTAACACTAGGTTAGGTGGTAGCACTAATGATATTAAATTACGGATTCAATTAAATGCAATGAATGATTACAATTTTATAGGATCTATGATATGTTGACATCTAAACCAGTGTTCAATACCATTGGTATTAGATAACGTTATCCTTTCTACTTTGAGGAGTTGGCGATAATTTACAGTGTTGTATCAATTAATGGTATACTGATGGTAACTAAAAGATAGCAATAAAATTTCCTATTTTATCATAAACACTATACCAAAAACATATGAGCAATTGGACTAACAACACAAACATAAAAATAAAATAATGAAGAAAATAGAAAAAATAAATTAATCAACATTTTTTTAAAAGAAAAATCAAGGTTTGATTACACAACACCCAAAAATTCAATAATAATAACAATAATAAAAATAAATAAAAAGCATTGTTTTAAGCTAAAGAAATGGTCTACTCATTTGATGTATTTGGGTTTGTGGTACAATTTTGACATTTTTACATAGATAATGACGTGTTCAGATTTATCCATTCGCAATAATAAATATAATTTGTTTTGCCATTTCGTTGGTAGTTAGCTTAATTAGTGAAATGATAAATTTATATGCATAAAGAGTAATTTAATGCTCCATAGATTGAGTACATGTTTGTTTACGAAAGCTTTCTTTGCGGACCAAAAACAAAAGAAGAAGATGGAGTAATCGAGTAAAACCACGAAAATGGAAATAAAAGCTGGGGATTGAGAAGATCGATTTTAAATATTGAGGATGTATTTGCTACAAGTGTTAAATGTTAAGGACTAACTGTCCAAAATCCTAAGAAAATTGTTAATATGGCTAATTGGATTCGTATACATGTCCTGAAAAGGACAAAATACTTACTTAAAGGGCTAACTCCAGAATGGAAGCTTTTATGGAAAGCCACTTAGAGACTGGACACAAATCCAGAATGTCTGCGAACGTTTTCATTTGATATAAGTTTGGACCATATTACCTGTACAGATAACTGTATATGTAGCTTGATAGGTGCACGCTTAGTGTGCATCTGTAACATTATCTGTACATATAGCTTTATTTTATAAGTTTCAAGTATATATCAAAAAATTTCTATAACTCCAAAAATAATTGAAAAATGTTGTAGGGCCGATCCTTCCCCACCTCCCTATCCATCCGCCCCTGTACGATGCACAAGACACACACACACACACATAAAGGAAGCAGTGCATCAACATGCTTAACCACTACAAGTGAAACATATTGTACTAGCTAAAAATCAGTATCTTTTTTTACAATGAAAACCTTTTGAATTCATTAACTTTTCAAGAAGTTGTAACAAATAAAAGTTCAAAAGAAACAAAATTAGGAATTAGGGCCCAAGCCTACACTAAATCTACCTTGTCGATACCAATCAGGACATCAAATGACCTTCACCTGTCATCATTTAATCTGTAACCACAAACAAAAAAATCCCGTTATTCATTTTAAAGATAGCCGACACGACCTCTGCTCTCTTCCTTACTCTAATCCGACTAGCTAGCCTCCTACTGGCGGTGACCTTTCTGGTATGCTGCTCTTTAAGGCAAAGCATATTCATCCTAAAACATCTTCAATTCGAATTTGACAAGAAACTAACCTTAAAAAATTGAACAACTATATTATCATATCATGCAGCTTTTCCTTCAAAATGAAGAAAATGGTACTATCCTAAAACACGAGAAATACGCTCATTTGGTTTCATGGGGAGGCCCCTGTGTGTATACACCTATTTATCTTGGAGGTTGATTAGAACTAGCTGCATGACCCGTGCTTGAGCCAGCACTGTTTTCTTGTGGAGGAGAGGTGCCCCACTCGCCTTTCGACTCTAGTGGCTCAATTACACACACTCTACCATCAGTAAGTCCTAATGCAAATTGGTTAGGCCTGTAAGGGTGAGTAGCAATAACTAAGGGATAGGCCGATACGCTGCAAAAGTCAGTATATCAGATAATGAGTACAAGGAAAAAAATGTACTTTGATAATCGTTGTTAGTTTTCTGGTGATTGAATTCATTGTAAGTTGAATAACAACAAATTCAGAAAATTTCAGTAGTACGCACCTTGGATAGGGAG